TTAAGCATAAAATTGCTTGGATGAAAAATACATAAAGAATACCAATTATTACACTAAACATCACTGGCCAATAATTGTTCCTATAAAAGACACTTTCATTTGAGGTTAAAGTGAATGTAAGAGTGAAGCTTACACTTTTCATCCATTTAAAAATGCAAAAACCATCCTTAGCTTATGGCCCATACAAAGACAGCTGGATTTGGCTGTGGGCCATTGTATTGCTTACAATAGCAAAAATGAGAGCTATCTGAGTAATCATCAATGATAGGAAAATGTATATAAATTGTAGCATATCTATTCCATAAAATATTACTCAGGGGGCTGCCTTGGTGGCGCAGTGGTTGAGAGTCTGCCTGTCGATGCAGGCGACACGGATTCGTGCCCCGGTCTGGGAAGATCCCACATGCCGCGGAGTGGCTGGGCCCGTGAGCCATGGCCGCTGAGCCTGCACGTCCGGAGGCTGTGCTGCACAACAGGAGAGGCCACAACAGTGAGAGGCCCGCGTACCGCAAAAAAAAAAAAAAAAAAAAAAAAGAATATTACTCAGCAGTAAAAATGAAGGAGCCACAGTTCCATGTAGCAGTGTGTTATGATTCTTACAAACATGAAATTGAGGGGTGGTGGGAAGCAAATCACAGAAGAAGCCATTCAATACAATTCCATTTATTTAAATTTAAAAGCCAGGAAAAATTAAACGGCATATTGCTTAGAAATACACAAATAAGTAGCTTTAAAAAGTAGTATTAAGAAAAGGGAGGAATGGTTAGCACCATGTTTAGGATAATGGTTACCAAAGGAAGAGTTATGATTTCAGGGAGGCTTACATAGTGGGCTTTTGGGGTATTTGTAATGTTTTCTCTCTTTGTTAGTACATGAATGTTTGCTTTATTTTTGTTCTACACAATGTTTTGTAGGTAAATGTTTTTATAAACTCTTTTGTTTGTATGCTACATTTCATAATAAAAGTTAAACTAGAAAGATTAAACTAGAAGAGAACTAAATGAAGTAGTTATTTTTAATTTTTTGAGGAATCTCCATACTGTTTTACATAGTGTCTCCAGCAATTTACATTCCCACCAAGAGTACACGAGTTCTCTTTCCTCCCCATCCTTCCCAACACTTGTTATCTCTTATCTTTTTGATGATAGTCATTGTAACAAGTGTGAGGTGATATATCATTGTCATTTTGTAGCTATTAAAGCTGTAAAAGTTGTATTATAGCTATTAAAGATACAAGATCTGAGCAAATAGATATTCTGTATTCTTGGATGAGAAGACTCAGCATAGGAAAGTCTCTCCTATTTTGTCTTCTATACCTATAAAGTAATAAATTTAATGCAGTTCAAGTAGAACTGCCATCAGAGTTTCATTGTTAGAGGGGATTACATAATACAATACTAAATTTTATGTGGAAAACTACAGACCTAAGGGAAGTATGGAAAAGAATGTGAAAGGATTTAACTTCCCAAATAGCTGAATGTAACGTGAAGCCTCTATAATCAGAACAAATTGTATACATATAGCAGTTGATCAGTGGAACAAAATACAAGGTCCAGGGAAAGATGTTAGTGTGCATGAGAATTTAATAACATGACACATAAGATACTCTAATTTAGAAGTGACAGGGTGCTTTACAAATTGTTCTGGCATAAAGCATCTATCTGAAAGAGTATTAAGTTGGAAAACATCATTTTCATTATATCATATATAAAATGACTCTACATGAATTAAATAATAAAATATTAAAAATGACAAAGATATTTGATGAAAATTTATGTCTACATTTATCATCTGGGCTTGTGGGAGGAGGGGCTTAACAAAAATGGAAAATCAGAAATTATAAAAGAAAAGATGGACCAATTTACTCATCCAAAATTTTAAACTCTTAAAGGCAATATTGTCAAACAAAGCCAAGAGATAAGTGATACATTTGAAGGGGAAAATATTATTATAGATGACATGGAGTTAATAGCTATAATATTCTAAGAGTCTTCGGAAATGATGAGGAAAAAAGAGTCCGGCAAAACTCATTAGAAAAATTGGCCCTTTACTTCAGAGGAAATCTAATGGCCCAAGTTCATATGAATACAAGCTCAAATCTCACTAGCAATGAGGGGAATGCTGAACTAACATGAGATTTTGTTTTTCCTGACCTCCAGAGGGTGGTGATAACATCTTCCTAACACGGCCTTATAGTTGTTTCCATCTTGTCCTGGCTGCTTTGCATACTTAGTGCTCTGCCTGTTCCTAGGAGAGTACATACAGAGGAAGACAGGATGGCTGCTGGGTTCTTGATGGTGCAACCACAAGAATCAGGGCCTTGAAGTTGTGCCTTGGACTTCACCCATGCTTGACATCTCAAAGAAGCTGTACAGAGATGAGATTAATCACCTGGTCTCTGTGGGTTGATTGTACTCTTTCTTTAATTTTCCTTCGGTTATCACCATGTCTTTCACGTGGTCGGCAATGGAACTGAGGATGGCTCAAGCTGATGTAATAGTTTTGCCCACAGTTGGGTTTTCAGCTTTGCAAATCTGAGTAATTTTCCAGTTAGAGCATCAAGAGGAGCTATGGAAGGAAAGAAGATAATTTTACTAAAGCCTGAGTCCAGGCAGGGAAAATGGATTTAAAAACTCAGATATAATTTTCATGCAGGTTATTTGCAGGAAGTAACTATTATATTTAATGGCATGATAGTACAGAGAATCAACACTTGAAGGGAGCCCTTTCAATATACTGAGTATGGGAACTCAACATTGGCTTGACACGTGATAATTCATAATGAAGTAAAAGTCCTATAAATACAATGAATATGAATAAGAATTCAGCTAACACTTAATACACACCAGAGATTTCATACAGGAGAGAAACCCTATGACATTTTTCAATGTGGAAATGTCTACAGAGATCATCTCTTAAACTACACAAGAGCAAACACTGGAGGGAGAAAAAAAAACTTTTTTGGATGTAAACACTGGGAAGGTTTTTGGTCATCATTCATCCCTTTATCAACATGAACAAATTCACACTCTGGAGAAACCCTATGAATATGATGAATATGTGCAGTAATTCAGCAATACAGCTAACCTTTATATACATAAGAGAATTCATGTGGGAGGGAAGAAACTTTATACATGTGACCAATGAGGAAGAGCCTTCGCGCAGATCTAACCTTCATGTGCGTAAGAAGACTCATTCTGGGGAGAAACTCGAAAACTGTAAAGAATGTAGGAAAGTTTTTAGCAGGAGAATGCCTCCTGATGAACATGAATATCTATACTGGGGAAACGATTAGAATGTAATAAATATGGGAAATGACATGTGCAAATATTCTAAATGTAAGGAGGGAAGGAAAGTCTCCAGTGATCACTCATTTAGTCAGCAGTTCTCACACTAGACACCTGTGCCTAGAATCAATGAGGATGTGCCTTCAGCTGGGGATCACATCAAACATTTCCTCCAGGGAGAACACATTCTACGTAGCTTTCTTTAGCACACAGCTGAGCAAACACATCACTTTTGCCAAATGACATACTTTTAAACATATGTAGAATAAAGATGTAGGATTATGAGTTGTATTTAGAAATACTTAAAGCAGAAGCTGGCAGTAGCTAATAATCAATGAGATGAACCTTATTCAAAAAATTACTAGTTGAGGGCTTCCCTGGTGGCGCAGTGGTTGAGAGTCCGCCTGCCGATGCAGGGGACACGGGTTCGTGCCCCGGTCCGGGAAGGTCCCACATGCCGCGGAGCGGCTGGGCCCGTGAGCCATAGCCACTGAGCCTGCGTGTCCGGAGCCTGTGCTTCGCAAAGAGAGAGGCCACAACAGTGAGAGGCCTGCGTACCGCAAAAATAAAAAATAATAATAAATAAAATTACTAGTTGAGAATACTTAGCAAATTAAAGGTTATTGCTAAAAAGGCTTTTAAAAGCATCAAGTATTCTCTTGAGCGCATGAGCCTGTTTTCCTTTAACAGTCCACCACTGCTGACTAGCTAATACCATCTATTTTTTATGCAGCTAATACACCATTATTATAAAGACTTTGAGACTATCAGAAAATAACTTTGAATGTTAACCAAAAAATGTGGAATGCAAATAGTGTATCTTTTATTTCATTAATGTTAAAATATATGTGTTCACAGAGAGGAGAATTGGAAATATGGATTTGTAAGTGAATTAAAAAACATGTTTGTCAGTATTGTTCGAAGGGCTAATAAAATGGAAACAAAAGTGAATGCCTGTTCGTAGAGAAATGGTTGGATAAGTTACAACAGCTTCTCACCATGAAATATGCATTATAAGTGATTTAAGGCTATGTAAGTGGATATCCATGACGTATCATTGGATTAGAAAAGTAAGCTGCAGAGAGAAGTAGGTATAATATGATCTTGTTTGTGTAAAGAAAATAAGAAGGAAAATTAAGCCATATATAATATGTATATTTACTTATATGCATATAATGTATATATCGTATCTGATGATACGTTTATATGCTTGTATAGTAGGACAGAGGAAAGTACTTAGAGACACTTGCCATCTTATTAACATGAATGGGAATATGAACCAAGTAAAAAAGAAAAGAAGACTGCATAAATAAAAGGGAAATTCCAGATATATTATGATCACATTTATTTAAATAATATATATATATATGTTTGAGTATGTATGGTCTGTTCTTTAAAATATTATTTAGTCAGGCAGATTGATTGCTCAATAACCAAATTTTTACCTTTTTGAGGGATCACAATGGAAGAGCCACTGGCAGTAGTAAAATGAGACTAAACTAATGAGCCTTTTGAGGGGTCTAATTTGACATCCTTTGTCCCCAGCATAGAATAAAAATTCTGTCAAAGGAAGCATATCAGTATAGTTCACAAAGAACAAAATTAAAAGCAGCAAATAGATCTCAGCAGCTAATTGTGGACGAGTGTAAAACTTAGGTTGTTTCATTTTTTTTTCCTTTTTCATAGATGAGGATGGACTTGGTATAAGTATTATTGGAATGGGTGTTGGAGCAGATGCTGGACTTGAAAAGCTGGGAATATTTGTCAAGACAGTGACGGAAGGTGGTGCTGCTCAGCGAGATGGCAGGTAAGCCAACTACTGTTGTTAATAACTCAAATCTCCTCGGAAGTGTTTCTGGGAATTTCTTTCAATTGTAGCTTTCTTTTGACATTTTAGAACAGAATTTCAGAGTGTGTCTCAGATGTGGGAAATGTTAAAACACTTGAATTACTTTCTGATTTGCAGGCAGAATACATTTCTTTAATGTATATTAGATAAATAGGTGGATGGATCTGTTATCTGTATCTGTCTACCTTTGTATCTATCCATTCATCTATCTAGCCAGTGGAAGGTGAGCAGAATCATGCATGTGTATCACTTAAGAATATGTACTGTGGAGATCAGCATATGGTTTTCACTTCAGAGGTATCAAAACAAATAATAATAGTTCTGGCACTTCTGAAAATGACAGAGGTAGGAGGGAAAATAGGAACTAATTCTGCAATGATGGTAATTCTGGAGATCAGTGTCTTTCAAAATGTGTTCTGTCTAAAAACACAGATCCTTGAGTGCCACCTAAATCTGGAATTAAAATCTCTAGGAGAGGGTTAAACATCCACCTTGGGTAATTTGGATGCACACCAGAGCATCAGATGGTCATTGTTTTATGTCTTAACTTTCATCATCTCAAGCTACAAGTATCTTTAAAGATTTGATTAATCCTGACTGTAGACTCCTGATGCATCAAGCTGGGGCTGAAACAGAAATAGAAATAAAAGTAGACTCAAAACTATGAGTGTCAAATTCAAAGAAATGTCATCTTATTTTTTTTTAGGAACATTGAATAACTGGCTTTGATTTTTTTCAAGGTTTAAGTATGTATCACTCAACCAGCTTATCCAGAAATAATAAACCATGTTGAAAATCATTTGTGAGTCTCCAATGAGACCAATAGCAGTATTATTTGTTTCATAATTTAAAAAACATATTTATGTACACAGATGTTTCCCAAGAGGAACTAAATTGATTTATTTAAATGAAAGCCACACCTTCAGTACCGTCTCTTTCTATGTGGTTAGGGACCACATCTTAGCCAGTAGCCTTATTTGTATTCCCATAACACTTGAACAGAGAAGGCCTGAAATGAATGTTTTGAGTGAATGTTCAGCTGACTGAATGCTTATCACACTTAAAACAAAGAAAGTGGGATATTAATATTTTGTGTTTAAAAGTAACTTATTAAGTCTTCCTCCTTTTCAAAGTAGTTAAGGAAATAACCTCTTTGCCCCTTCAATGAATTATATAATAGTAGTAGTAAATATTTCCTGTTATTAATTTAGAACCTTTCTTCCAAGTGAGCTGAAATTTGTTCGTAAAATCTGTATCTTTTCTCTTCATGCTTTGTGAAAAACTTAAGTCATTCTAAAGTGGTAGGAAATAATTCTTACTGTTAATATTCAAACAAATTATTATAAATCACCTCTCAAGTAAATGAGGCCGCAAAGCCAAACCAAACTACAAATTGATTAAAAAACAAAAAAGTAGAGAATTTTGTATTCATCAGTCAATTCCCATTGTTCTAAACTCAGAACTATTTGTTTTTCTGTCACTCATTTTTTAAATTAGGTTTGTTTTCTATTAACCTATTTACTGATTTGTTCTCCTGTGTAGTTATAATATTTACACTGATATGAGAACTTTGCTTGATCAGTCCCAGTGTGCATTTTCTCAATCTTTCTAAATGAATGTTTACCTAGTACAGTAATCCTGCTGTTGTTATAATAGATGCTCAATAAATGCCTCGGTGAATATATTAAAGAAGACAACTTGATGTAATGAAATGAGCAGAATCTTTGGGATCATGTGACCAGGAGTCTTAATTTCATACCCTCTACTTACCAGCTAAGGGATATTGAAGAAATTAATTTTCAGGTTTCTACATTGCAGGATTGTTGTATGCATTAAATAAGCATATATAAATAAAAAAACCTTCCACAGTGCTGTTTGTGTATGAAGCTGTTCTTGACTGAAGTAGGCATAAGCTTGAAATTTATTAAAAATAGTTATTATGGGAAGTCTTATGAAAAACTATAGAAAGATGTATGAAATAGGTACAGAATCATAAGATTTTGGTGGTCAGAGGGACTTTAGAGATCTTTTCCATACCTTTCATTTTATATGAAAATTGAGTATATATGTGTGTGTGTGTGTGTGTGTGTGTGTGTGTGTATTTGAAAATAAGTGGTCACATTATTACACCTATGGCAGTGTTCACATCTTTTATTGGGATGGCCAAAAAGTTCATTCGGGTTTTCCGTAAGATGTTATGGAAAAACCTGAATGAACTTTTGGGCCAACCCAATAAATTATTACACTGTTATTACGACCATTATGGGTATGCTCATTTGCACAGTATTTTAATGTTTGCTATTTAAAAGGTATCAGTATTAAAAAACTACAAAAGGAACACTTGGTTGCTGCCTCCAGTCAATAATTTTTTAAAGTTTTGTTATGTATACTTACTGATATAGAAAGATATTGTATTAAGGATTTACAAAACAGTATGATTAGTATAATGCCATTCTTGTGTGGATATGTTTTCTATTCTTTTCATCACTCCTCCCCACCTTGCCCCCATCTCTCTCTGTCTCTCTCTTTTTTCTCTTTCTCTCTCTCAGAAAACCTGGATTTAATATACACCACAGTGTTGAATGGCTCTAGTCTGTGTTTTTTTATTTAATTGCATCTAATATGGAATATTTAATTTTGTATAGAGAATATGTAATATTTTATATATTTTAAACTGCAGCTAAAATTAATAAAGTTATCACCATGTGGCTTTGGGAAAGTTACTCTTCAGACCTTAGTTGTGGACAGAATTAAAGTTCTGGGTTAGATGTTCCTTTTAGCTTTAAAAGATTGAGTCTGTATTATAGCTTTCTAGCTTGCTTCTAGCTTCTTAATAACTCAAGAAAATGATTTCAATTTAATCTCAGATTTGGGTAAACTTCCTTCAAGGTATGTCAAATAAACAGGTATATAGAGAAATTCTTTTCTCCCTCCTCTGCCCGTCCCACCCACAATACAAGAAGCCATTTTTGTTGTGTTGCTTTTACCCCTCCCAAATGTCTCATAAACTCATCACATTTTGAGTACTTCTAAAAATTTGCCATGGATATTTATCTCTGGAGTCATCTAGTACAGTTAAAAAGTTTTGTCTTCCTTATTATTTGATATGATGTCTTAACATTCTAAATGTCTCTTCACATCTGTCTGTATCTTTTCATATGACACCTGAAACGTAGCGGGTGCTCAATAAATATTTGTTGAATGAGTGAATACCTGTGCTTTAATCTCTTTCAAGACATTTAGTACTGGGACCTAACATTTTTCTGTTCTTTTCTTCTCCTCTTTTTTTTGGGCTACTTTGCCTCTTATAGTTTATCTTGTAATTTAGCTGAGTGGCATGATAGCCATTTACACTTTCTGTGTTAGTTCTAAATTTTTATTAAAATAATACTAAATATATTAACCATTAGTTTTTGCTGCCATAATTTTATGAATGTACACAGGACACTTTAACACACTAATTATTTCTCCAGTCCTCTTTAATGAATCTATAAAGCAAAATGAATTTTATAATAACACAATTGAAAATGCTGATAGTAGAATAAATCATGTGGATGGTAACTGACAAAAGATATTAATAATGCTGGGCTAAAGAGGCAAATTGAAAATGCATTTAAAATCTGCTTTGTCTCTGGCTCCTTATGTTTGTTTCTCAAGCTTTTGCTTGAGAACACTGTCATTTTAGATCACTGTCCTGTTTATTTTTCAGTTTTTTGGAAAAGATAATCAAATTTGAACTTAAGGTGCAATGTACTTTATCCTCATTCTCATGTTGGTTTAAACGATTTTAATCATTTTGGACAATCTTTCTGGTAACACTAACATATAAAACAGATGAAGAATCCTATTCTTCTGCTTACCCTGCAGCAAACTCTCCCTCCTTGCAGGACCTGTCTGTCCCCATGAGGTATCCTCAAGCCTGGGACAGCCCTGAATAGGAACTTCTGTTTTCATGTGTCCATATATCCTAATTCCTTAGTCAATGGTTTCCTCTCTGCACACACACTCTTTTGTCACTCTTCTAATTAAGCATCTTCACCCCTTAGAGAGTTTTGGGATATTACTGCTCTGATTTGTATTTTCATATGCATTTAAAACTCTGCTATCTAGCATTTTGGGGAAAACTCTCTTGTTGTCCAGCGTTCATTAATGTTGCTCCAGCTCATTTCCTTTTCGTTCATCCTTGGTCGCTTTGTTGACATAAGCCCTGTGAGGTAGGATTTTTGTTTTTGTTTCCCCATCCCAGATACATCATGTCAATAAATAACTGCCCAATAACATTAAACCAACTCCAGAGTACTCCAACTTAGATATTTTTACTAGCCTTACCGCCGCTGATTCTGGTTTTTAGATTCAGAATTGAGGGATTTCAGAAATATCAGACTGAGGTCGAAAAGCAGTTGTATTGCACACTTGTGTTTATGAGCACATGGAAACATTGAAGAAATGGCCAGGACTAGATGCCTTTTACAAACTAGCCAGCTACCTTCCCGTAAATTCCATTCCAGTAGACAGTGTTTCCAGGGAAAAACAGGCTATTTCCTCTACGATTCTGGAAGAATTTTGGAAAGTCTTGTTATCTGTATTCTTTCTACTCTGGGGTGGTCTAATGCAGAGAGCCGTCCATTTAATTTTTACCACCAGGACTCATCCCTTGTCTTTTTTGTGCTTCTGATTATGAACCAAGATTTGAGAGGTATTATCAACTACTACTAGTGAGACTGCATCTAAAAGTTACCTTCTGTCAGGGTAAGAGATTCAAGCAAAGTAGGTATCAGATGCCAGAAAACTTTTCCCTACCGTAATAACCACTTATGTAGTAAGTACCCTGCTGGGTCATGACCTTGTGGTTTGTAGGGTCAGTCCATGGTAGCAGTAACCCTGAACAGGTGCCCTTTTTTGTAACCGATATCATTTATTCCTATCATCCCTGTCCACTCGTTTCTACGTCTCCTCCT